CCCCCCTTTTTAAAGGCGCACTGCATCCGCCCTTTCTCACCCCCCCCCCTTTAAGATCGCAGTGATCACAAAACCTCCTGGGCCCCTTACCCCCACCCCGGGGACAACTTCGCCGCCGGGCCCCCCTTTCTTCCCTCCTCTGACTCCCCGGCCCCATCCCTCGGGGTACTTCAAAATCCCCCCCCCCCACTATTTTTAACGACAAACAAAACCCGGCCACTTTCCCTATTCCTCCACCTAACCTCCTCCTGCGGCTCACTCAGCACACTCAATCCTCCACACATCGATGGGAACACCGGACCTGTCTTCTCCCACCTCTGTTACCCATCAACCAGTTCTCTAACACCCCCTTCCCTTCTCTGACCACTCCTCATCACGTTCTCCATCGCCCTTCCCCAACCCCCCCCCCAAAAAAAAACGGCCAATACCATCACCAGCAGCAATCTCCGCAAACTGAAAATCACGGCCCCCTCCCACTCAGCCGCCGGACCGCCTAACACGACAGCATACTCCCACTGTCATGTCCTGAACTTAGCCACCACCTTGTACAACGACTCACGGTCATGCTGCCCTAGACTCTCGGCACACCCTACGCCCACACACCCAACAATTACCCAGGACCCGCTCCAAACATGGCAGGAATGACACAACACCTAACTCCGCTCATCAAACGTCGCAGTCACGCACTGGAGTGGGACTATGGCGCAAAACCAGGCCCCCCTCACACGCATTCTCCCTCTACTATTCTGCCTTCCTCACTTACACCTCCTCCCCCTCCCCGCTCGCGCCAAAGCAGGGCCTACTTTGTTAACAATCAATCCCAGCCACTCTCCACCTGCCCTCGCTGACTCTTCCTCCACCTTCAACTCCCATTCTCCTCTGCCCCCCCTCCTCACACTTTCAGTCACCATCACTCCACACGCCCAAGAGATTGCCACCCATTTCTGTAACAAGAATTGACGCTATCCGTAAGGACATTAGTCATCTCGCAACTCATACCCTCCCAACACTAGGCCTCCCACATCCCCCCATCACCCCTTCATTCTCCCCCCTCCTCTGCCCTTCACAAAACCGCCACTGCCCTCCACCTCTCCCAAGGCCACCGCCCACCGTAACCCATTCACCCTGCACTTGTCAACTCCCTTCAGGCCCTGTCCACTACTGTGGATAGTTTCGTCAAGGTCTTTCCTATCAGAAGCCCGCCTCACTCACACCTGCCCCCTGGACCCTTATCCCCTCTCAACTCCTACGGTCACCCCCCTCTTCCCTCATCACCCTCCCACCCCCCCCATCTTCCCCTCTTTCCCCTCCTATGGTGCAGTTCCCCCACCCCCACCTAAATGCTCGCACAGTTATCCACCCCTTCCTCAATAATGGCCTCCCCTGGTATCCCGCGGATACCCCAACAACTCCTCCGAGACCCATTCCTGCTGCCATCACGTCTCACCCGTCCTAGCTCCTTGAGCGCATAGCTCTTCGATACGCACTACTAGCGCCCACGCCTTATTGACAATACCAACCTCCTTGGAAACCCATTTACCAGTCCGGCTTCCGTCCCCTACACTCCAACAGGATAACTGCCCTGCATTCAAAATCCACTAAAGACCTTCTTAAACGCCTAAGCCCAAGGGAGGAACTACTCTGTCCTCCCTTCTCCTGGAACCTCTCTGCAGGCCGTTACGACACGTCAGATCCCCCCCCTACAACTCCTAATTAATACAACGACGATTCTCCGCTTGGCATCGGGGATACAGCTATCTCTACTTGGTTCTACACCCCCCTATCCCGAGCGCTAAACCCTTCAGCGGTCTCACCTACATTGGTGACCACCCCACCTCTCGCCCCTCCCCAACCCCCTCTCCTGGTGGGGTCCCCTACAGGCTTCTGTCCTGGGACCCCTTCTCTTATCCATATTCTTTCATCCTCACTCCTGGGCAAAAAAAAAATATCTCATTCAATCCCTATGGACTTTCAATTATTGCACCCCTCTATGCTGGACTGTCACCCATTAAATATCTACCTCGTCCACCCCCCACCTCACCCCACCACGATCCAGCCCGCACTCACTCCCCTCCAAATTCGACGATCATCTCTGGACTGGATTGGTCGCTACATTTTCCTCAGATGCTCATACCCGCTCCCAAACCCATACTCCTCATCCTGTTTCCCCCTGCATCATCCCCCACCACCCCCCCAGCCTATTCCATCTTATCCATCACCAACCACCAACACCACTTTCATTCCCGCCACCGCAAGCCTAAAGTCCTTGGCGTCATTCGTGACTCGGTAACACTCTTCCTTCCTCCTCATGTCAAATCACTTTGCAAAACAACGGCAGGGCTCACAATCTCCGCATTAATTGCCAAGATTACGTTCCTTCTCCAACCCTGGACACCATCCACCATCTTCTTGTACACTCCCTCATCATCTCACGCCCTTGGAGCTATTGCAAACTCCCTCCTCCACCGGCATACCCAAGTGGCAGGCTCCTCCCGATCCATGACCATCCTGAATTCAGCAGCCAGGAGACTCATTCCACCTCACCACCCGCTCCCCTCCACCTCTGCCACCCCCCTCTGCCTCTCCCTCCACTGGCTCACGATTGGCCCAAAACGGATTTTCAAGATTTTGAACCTTCTAATCCTGAACCTTGCCAAGCCGTTCTCATACCTCTGCCACATGGAATTACTCACCAACACTGTTCACCATAGTACCACCCTTACCCGTACCCTCTTCGCTCCTCCACAGGTACTCCTTCTATCCTGCTCCCTGGCTCTACTCCTTCCATGCTCGACTGCAGGATACTTCTCCAGGGTACTTCCCCTATCCTCTTGGAACTCACTGCCCCAATCCATCCGACTGTCGCCTTCCCTACACACTTTCAGGCGGCTCCCGCAATACATCTCTATTCAGGGAAGCCTACCCCCTACCTAACGGCAATCCTACCTCAATTACATCCCCACCACTTCATCCCCCTCAGGCCCAGCTTCCTACGTGTACCATTACCCCCATCCCTACTAGATTGTAAGCTTGAAAGAGTAGGGCCCTCTTACCCCTCGTACGCTGTCTGTTTTTGTTGTACTGTATGCCATGTATTGTCCCCCCTATTTGTAACCAGCGCTGAGCAAACCCTTTGGCGCTATATAAACCTCCATGTAATAAATAAATAAATTATATTCATTCTTACTTTCATTTCCCCAAAGTTATCGCGTCTACAATGGAGACCTGTATAGATCACAGTGATGGCACCAATGAGGATTGGAGGAGGACCGGAGTCACATGACTGAGAAGATACTAAACCTCACCCTGGAGATCATATACCTGCTGACCGGAGAGGTGAGGAGGGATTCTGGGAGGTCACATGACATCACTCTCATCTCTATTAATAAAACACAGGACCATGACCGGAGGAGGTGAGGAGGATTCTGGGATTCTAACATGATATTCCTATTGGTTCCTCAATACAGAGATGAAGTCAGGTGATTCATATGACCATCACAAGTGCCTCCATATGACTCCCTAAACCCTGAGAGACACAAACATGCAGAAGATTCTAGAAGTCACCAAGAAGATGATGGAGCTGCTGACAGGAGAGTGTGAGCGGTGCAGGGAATTCTGGGACATTCTCCAGTAACAGACAAGGGATGTGTCTGGATGGTGACTGTATCATTGTTGTGTGTGTCAAGGTTCCTATAAGGTGTCAGGGTGTCACTGTCTTTTTCTCCATGGAGGAGTGGGAGTATTTAGAAGGACACAAGGATCTCTACAAGGACGTCCATGATGGAAATCAGCCGCCCTCACATCACCGGGTAAGAGGAGACTTATTGTAATGGAGAGAGTGCAGTACGGAGGATCCACCTAGATCCCCCATCATCTGATAAACACATTAGAAAAACAATGGATTTCAGGTCATGTGTGTGTGTTTCCTCACAGATTGGATTTCCAGTCATGGGAACCCACCAGAGAGATGTCCCCGTCCTCTGTATTCCGGGATTCCACACAGGAAGGTCACACCATCCCTCACCATCATCAGGTAGCATGGATCCAGTCATGGGATACCCACCACAGAGATGTCTCCCGTCCTCTGTATTCCTGGCAGGATTCCACCAGGAAGATCCACACCATCCCTCACCATTTACAAGGTTGGTGGGATGGAGAATCTAGAACATGGACTTGTGGAGATGATGTGTGGATATTTTATGTGACCTTATATTTTACAGATATTATATTTTCTCTCATTTCCTTGATTTAGAGTGGAGATCCAATCGATAACAGAATTTGAGGTTCAAGCAGAAGAAGAAGAGGCGTATGTGAGGGATGATCAAGCAGTCTATGGAGGAAGATGGAATAACGGGGACATTTATGAGGAGGGACACTCCTACAGAGATCACGCACAGGTGGGTCATGAACACTAAATCCATTCCTCCACCCATTATGCTCACTGATTGGTCCAGAGTAGGGCGGGGACTGGGTGAATATCAGCCTGTATATCCCTGGACACTTTCCTGAGCTATGTTCCCCATCCTGCCTGATGGGGGTGTAGGAGTCCTGGTTTGGGGGAACCAAATCCCTCCTGTCTAGTAATCCTCTTTGTCCTTTGTACTTTAGTCCAATGGCCGGGTGAGTTGAGGAAAACCTCTGAGGATTGTCTCACTTTGTCTCCAGGACTGGAAAGTAGAAGATGAGGACATCACACAGTATAGTCCAGGAGAAAAAACTCGGCTCCCTCCAATGTCCATCCGGCACCACCCCAGTGTAGATGGACCATCGGATTCTTCGTTATCCTGAGGAACCTTCAGACTGTGCGGGATTGGGCTGGCCTTCCAACAGGGAAGAACTTTCCTGTCCTGAGTGCGGGAAATGTTTTTCATGGAAGTCCCGATCGTTTCATACATCAGAGATCTCACACGGGGGAAAAGCCGTTTATTCCTGTCTGAGTGCGGGAAAATGTTTTTTCACGGAAGTCCAATCTTTACACACATCAGAGATCTCACAAGGGGGAAAAGCCGTATTCCTGTCCTGAGTGCGGGAAATGTTTTTCACGGAAGTCCGTTCTTTACACACATCAGAGATCTCATCACACGGGGGAGAAACCGTACTTGTCCTGTCCTGAGTGCGGGAAATGTTTTTCACGGAAGTCCCATCTTTACACACCACCAGAGATCTCACACTGGGGGAGAAGCCATATTCCTGTCCTGAGTGCGGGAAATGTTTTTCAGAGAAGTCCACTCTTTACACACATCAGACATACTCACACGGGGGAGGAAGCTCTATTTTGTCCTGAAGTGTGGGAAATGTTTTTCACGGAAGTTCGATCTTTACATACATCAGAGATCTCACACGGGGGGAAAAAGCCGTATTCCTGTCCTGAGTGCGGGAAAATGTTTTTCACGGAAGTCCAATATTTACACACATCAGAGATCTCATACGGGGGAGAAGCCGTATTCCTGTCCCTGAGTGCGGGAAATGTTTTTCAGACAAGTCAATCTTATTGTGCACATCAGAGATCTCACACGGGGGAGAAACCGTATTCCTGTCCTGAGTGCCGGAAATGTTTTTCACAGAAGTCCATTCTTTACACCACCACCAGAGATCTCACACAGGGAGAGAAGCCATATTCCTGTCCTGAGTGCGGGAAATGTTTTTCAGACAAGTCCAATCTTATTGCACATCAGAGATGCCACACGGGGAGAAGCCGTATTTCTATCCTGAGTGTGTGTAAAATGTTTCTCAGGAGAAGTACAGTCTTTCCAAACATCAAAGGTATCACACGGGAGAAGCTGCTTTCCTGTCCTGAGTGAGGGAAATGTTCCTCACTGAAGTCCTGTCTTCCCATACACCAGGGGTCCCACACAACCCTGGAGGTATATTAGTGCCTTGAGTGTGTGGGAAATGTCTTCTAGATGAATGTTGCTGGACATCCCAGCTCTCATGTGTGGGAAGAAGCACACCCTGATATACACCTCAGATATACTCCATGGCTGATCTTCATCATGGCAGAAACAGTTGATAAGGAGATCAGAGGTCCCCAAAGATATGGATGAAGTGCAGTAAATGTCGGGGTACAGAGTGGTCAGTAGATCCTGGAAATGAAGGACACAACTTCAGCCCTTCTTGGGTGTCGGAGTTTTTTTGCGTTTCCATGATAATGATATAGCGGGTTACAGAGAGCTAGAAGCTTGGAGAGCCCAGATCTCGTTATCGGGGAACTTTACACAGACAACAAGAACTTCTGAAGTTGATGTCCTTCATTTCAAGGCTCTACAGAACAGTGGTGACCCCGAAGCGTCTCTCTGTCTTCAGTCCATCCTTCTCCCATCCCCCAACAGGAGGGAAGGAGAACTCTGCCCCAAACTAGGCGGGAACTTTCCTCTCATTATTTCCCTTTGCTTCTGTGTGGGTTTGGGTGGTTGGAGGGAAACACAGCTTGTTGTGTTCTATGTCTACATATGGGGTCTGGGTAGAGGGGATCCACCGGAAAATATTTTTACTCTTTGATTTTGTGCAAATTGTTTCTGTTTTCACTTTGAAGGGCGATATTATGTGTGGTTTGTAAAAGGGATTGGCCCAATAGATACCACCCCAATAGATGAACTAATATGACCAGCATTCATTCAGCCATGTCCCATGTTGGTCTTTTCATACAGTGATTTCCTATGATCATTGGCTCCATCTAGTGGCCATAATGTGGTATTGAACTGTTTTTCCTGATTGAGGCATTTTGGAAGTAATACATTATTATGGCCGCTAGAGGGAGCTGATGATTATAGGAAGTCACTGACTATTAAAAATACAGCCAGAATTTGTCACGGCTGGACACATGCTTGCCACACTCCCCCAACATATTTTTCACATAGATCCCTTAGTTTACTGTGTCAGGGGTGGTTTCATACAAATACCTGAGATCATACTCATACATTTTCAAGTACAGTAGACATTGAAGGACATAAATTACATAAAACCACAGAATTAAACCATCCATTGATTTTAACCAAAAATACCTCAATTGGTTTTTAGATGGCGCTAAGTATCCTAACAATTAGCACCATCTAGTGTCCAAATTGTCAGGGAACACCCGAACAATTGATTTAGTCAGATAAATCAATCAAATCACAGTGTCTCCAATACAAAAAATGATTTACAAAAATAATTTGACTTAATTAATCTGAAAACTTCTTTAAGAACTCAAACAAGATCTGTGTGGGTATAGACTGCAGAGTATGAAAATCAATATTTGTTTACATAAGTCACTTACAAACACCATAAATAATAGTCAGATTGTGATTTACACTGACACTAAGATGTTTCTGTAAAAGCTCTAAAATAGAGTGAATTAAATTTGATAATCAGTCTCCCTGTAAACAACATAACCAATGAAAACGGACAATAATCTGTCTCCTGCAGAAGGAATAAACTATGCAGAATAGTCCACCAGTATGGCCTAAGAACAGGAACATTTTTATAAATGACTTAACTTGAAGTGATGTTATCATGGGGGAGAGTTATTAGGTTACACAAAGGAATGTGGCAATTGACTTACTAGTCTAAACAAGCAAAATCAACAGAAAATATATAATTACCCTCCAAGTATCAGGTCATCTTTTAGAGAACTGATGATCAGACTCAAAGATGGCTGCTGATTAATGGGTGGATTTGAGCTTCTACAAAATGGCGTCTCTTCTTCAGTTGATAAGTGTCTTTAGATGATCTGAGTGTGAGATGATGTCTACCTTCCAGATGGCTGTGTAGATGATCCTCCCTCTGTGAGTTTTCCTGCCGGTTTTATCTAGTTATGACTAATAGACTCATCAAATCTGAATAAACCTGGTCCAGAAGGCGGAACCTTCTCTGTGATTGGGGAATCTGATTATCTAACCCATGTTTACTCAAGCATTACCTCCCATGGCCACTGGGTGTCATCCTTGGATAAGAGAATTGTCTGGTCTGAGTTTATCTGGGGACAGAAGTAACTAATCTGTGATCGGGAAAATGAATATTTCACTATAACAAATTGGCCCTTGTGAAATCTATAGAATGCCTTGGAGAGTAGATATTATTCCTCATTTACAATGATTACGTTTTGGTGTAACAGTGATTAAATGGAGAATTGTAACTATCAGGAGGTTGGATTACATAAAGCGATTAGAATAATAGTTGTACACACAGAGGAGAGATAATAAAAAGAATAATTTGTATACTGATCTACTGATTGATTATGGCTTTGGTAGCATGCATACAATATTCCTACAATACCGATAAACTCCAACACACTAAATATATATCATGGGATTACAAATCAGCAAACATACCATATATACTTCCTACATTCTTATGAGACAATCTGGTATTTTATCCCCATCACGTCTTTTCGTATAATCTGAAATATATGGAAATGGAGGTTTCTTTTTGTACCTTTTCACCAAAAACGAAATGAGTCTCAGCAGTGTTACTGGAGTCACCTTGTTACATAGTTACAGAGTTCATCTGGATGGAAAAAAGACACCAATCCATCCAGTCCAACCAACACAGAAAAAACAAAACACACAAATAGAACATTACATGAGGAAATGCACATTTTTACTGTAAAGGTCTCAGTAATCTATAAACAGAAGAATCCAGAAAAGAACTCTCACAGATCTGCAGCTTTGTAGAGTTAGCATTCATAATACACACGGCTCAAAAAAAATGAAAGGGAGACTTAATCCGAGTCTAGCATCAAGCCAATTAAACTCCTGGGATATGGATCTGGTCAGGTAAGTCGCAGAGGGGGCTGTTCATCAGTTTCAGCTGCTTTGGTGTTAATGAAATTAACAACAGGTGCTCTAGATGGGCAACAATGAGACAACCTTCAAAACAGGAATTTACAGGTGGAGGCCACTGACATTTTTTTCCCTACTCATCTTTTCTGACTGTTCTTCACTAGTTTTTGCATTTGGCTAGGGTCAGTGTCACTACTGGTAGCATGAGGTCATACCTGGACCCTACAGAGGTTGCACAGGCAGTCCAACTCCTCCAGGATGGCACATCAATACGTGCCATTGCCAGAAGGTTTGCTGTGTCTCCCAGCACAATCTCAAGAGCATGGAGGAGATTCCAGGAGACGAGAGCACGGAGGAGATTCCAGGAGACGAGAGCACAGAGGAGATTCCAGGAGACGAGAGCACGGAGGTGATTCCAGGAGAAGAGAGCACGGAGGAGATTCTAGGAGAAGAGAGCACGGAGGAGATTCTAGGAGAAGAGAGCACAGAGGAGATTCCAGGAGACAGGCAGTTACTCTAAGAGAGCTGGACATGGCCAAAGAAGTTTCTTAACCCACCAGCAGAACTGTATCTGCTCCTTTGTGCAAGGAGGAACAGGATGATGCACTGCCAGAGCCTGACAAAAATGACCTCCAGTAGGCCACTGGTGTGTATGTCTCTGATCAAACAATCAGAAACAGACTTTATGATAGTGGCCTGAGGGCCTGACATCCTCTAGTGGGCCCTGTGCTCACTGCCTGGCACCATAGAGCTCCATTGGAATTTGCCATTGAACATTAGAATTGGCAGGTCCACCACTGGCACCTTGTGCTTTTCACAGATGAGAGCAGGTTCCCCCTGAGCACATGTGACAGACATGAAAGGTTCTGGAGAACATTCTGCTGCCTGTAACATCATTTAGCATGACCGTTTTGGTGGTGGGTCAGTGATGGTCTGAGGAGGCATATCCATGGAGGGATGCACAGACCTCTACAGGCTAGACAATGGCACCCTGACTGCCATTAGGTAACGGGATGAAATCATTGGACCCATTGTCAGACCCTACACTGGTGCAGTGAGTCCTGGGTTCCTCCTGGTGCAGTGAGTCCTGGGTTCCTCCTGGTGCAGTGGGTCCTGGGTTCCTCCTGGTGCATGACAATGCCCAGCCTCATGTGGCAAAAGTGTATAGGAAGTTTCTGGAGGATGAAGGAATTAATACCACTGAATGGCCCCCATGCTGGCCTGACCTAAATCCAATAGAACACCTCTGGGATGTGATGTTTCAGTCCATCCGATGCCACCCTGTTGCACCTCAGACTGTCCAGGAGCATTGTGATGCCCTGGTCCAGATCTGGGAGAAAATCCCCCCAGGACACCATCTTCCATCTCATTAGGAGCATGGCCCAACATTGTCAGGCATGCATACAAGCACTTGGGGGCCATACAAACTACTGAGGACCATTCTGAGTTGCTGCAATTACATTTCGGTAAAATGGATTCGCCTGCTGTATCATTTTTTTCTTGATTTTTGGGGTGTTTTTGTTTTTAGTCCTCTGTAGGTCAATAATTTTCATTTCCATCAAATGATGGGGCATCCTTACATTCCTAACACATTATCCAGTCCATATCAGTATAGAGATCCAGCAGCAAATTTGTCCCCATTGAGATATGATGGGTTTTCAAAGTCTTCCTTTCATTTTTTGGAGCAGTGCGTAACATAAATTTAAGAGTTGGGTAGCTGAGATGTGATCAGTAGAAATATGTACAGTTGCAAGAAAAAGTATGTGAACCCCTTGGGATTACGTGGCGTTTTGCATGAATTGGGCAAAAAATGTGCTCTGAACGTCATCTAAGTCACAACAATAGAAGAACACAGTCTGCTGAACATAATACTACACACAAACATTAGATGTTACCATGGTTTAATTGCACATAACATGTAAAAACATTCACAGTGCATGGAGGAAAAAGTATGTGAGGCCATAGCTTAATGACTTCTCCCAGAGCTAATTGGAGCCAGGAGTGAGCCAACCTTGACTCCAATCAGTGGGATGATATTGGAT